TATATATATACATATATATATATATATATATATATATATATATATATATATATATATATATATATATAATCTTGTGAATAGGACTTTTATTTTGAACTTCATATGTGACTGCTCCGCTCTGTGAAGCTGTTGTGAAGCGGCTGGATGCAGGTTTGTTATGAAGCTCTTGTTGTAACGCTTTAATAGATTTTAGTGTAGATTTTTGAATCACTATCAACAGTTAAACACGTTGTTATCATTTTAGAAGCATTGCTGCATGTCTGAACGGCTGCCGAAGTCAACACGCAGAGCTTTAAGTGATGTAATGAATGAAAATACGAGTAACCGTAAAGTTGCGTCTGTTTTTGTTTCTTAAAGACGAACTCGTTCACTGTAAGTTTAAGGGTAGGAGAAAGGAGTCAAATGAAACACATTTTCTTTATGTTGCTTCTTTTATAGGTGCTCAAACAGAGCATATAAGTAGTCAAATAAGACCAGATAAATGATAAACTTACAAATAATTTTTAGAGCTTTAATTGGTTGAGAGAGTGCCAAAGATTTATTTGATCGAACAAAACATAAAATATGTATTCTGAATTGTAAATTTAAGTATCATTTTTAAACATAATCAGGATATAATTTATGTATTCAGTTTTTTAAAAATATATCTCTCTTTCGAGTGTAAATGCAACATGAACAAAAGAGGTTGTTTACAAACCAACTGCAAATCACTAGCCCAGCCACAAAACAGTCTGCGAGTGTCTGATTTTGTGAAAATAAAAATAAGTTATTACCACGGAAATTGGTTAACATTTGGCATGAATAACACACAACCTAACATACTGTATTAATTTAAAAGGAAATTAAATGTTATTGACATTATCGTTGCATTTTTCTGTGAAATTATCTGTTACGACTGATGGTTGTAACAATTGTATTACAGGTCATGTTATTTATTTAATTATTTATTTAAACAATTTAGTTTTATTTAGTTATATTTATAACTTATTTCAGGTTACATTTTCATTTTACAGGCCACAAGCTATATATATATATATATATATATATATATATATATATATATACACCAGAATTT